TTTAGGACCGGATGATGCTGGACTATCGGAAGGGGGACTATGAAGGGTCTGAGGTGGAGTGTGGGGGGGGTGCGCCCCTCGGCACTGCGGGACCAACCCGGCAGCACCCCAGCTGCTCAGCCCCCGGCTTCCCCAAGTTAGCCACTGCTGAAACTGACCAGTGGCTGATTTGGGGAAGCCAGGGTCAGAGCAGCTCCAATTGTCCAGCTAGCTGGAGCACTTCTGGGTTCCAGTTGGTGCCGGACTATCAGGAGTGCTGGACCACTGGATGCCGGACAATTGGAGTTTTACTGTACTATGTAACTTAATTTTTTTAACCAATTTTTTTTCCTCTTTTTGTTCATATTGCTTTTTGCCATCCATTTGTTAGGTTTTTTATCTGTGTTTTAATTAAAATTTAGCAAAGTTGTGGTATACAACAATAATACAATACTGCAGTAATACAGGGATACATCAATACAGTTGGTTTTACACAGTAACCAAGTTTAAGATAATTAATAGTAATTTCTATCTGATTGCCAACTTAATTGTCCATATATGGTAGACTGAGGTGTGTTTGACCAGTCTCTTATTTATAACACATTTTTTTTTCTTTTCCTGATGCTTGGGCATTTCTTTGCTGCATATTGTTATCTTCCGGTGTCCTTGTAGTGTGCTGTTGTCTTTTGTATTTTGTCTGTGAGATATAAACTTTAAGGCTACATCTACACTGGCCCCTATTCCGAAAGGGGCATGCTAATTTTCCAGCTCGTAATAGGGAAATCCGCGGGGGATTTAAATATCCCCTGCGGCATTTAAATAAAAATGCCCGCCGCTTTTTTCCGGCTTTTAGAAAAGCCGGAAAAGAGCGTCTACACTGGCCCCGATCCTCCGGAAAAAAGCCCTTTTCCGGAGGATCTCTTATTCCTACTTTGAAGTTAGCATGCCCCCTTTGAAGTAGGAATAAGAGATTAGCATGCCCCCTTTGAAGTAGGAATAAGAGATCCTCCGGAAAAGGGCTTTTTTCCGGAGGATCGGGGCCAGTGTAGACGCTCTTTTCCGGCTTTTCTAAAAGCCGGAGAAAAGCGGCGGACATTTTTATTTAAATGCCACGGGGGATATTTAAATCACCCGTGGATTTCCCTATTACAACCTGTAAAATTAGCATGCCCCTTTTGGAAAAGGGGCTAATGTAGACGTAGCCTTATGTGTTTTTCTTAGAATAAGGAAGTTGTATGAGAATCAGGGTCTTTTCCACCTAACTCCAGCTCCCCGTCCCCCCCCAAAATATGTACCAGTTCCGACTTACAAACAAATTCAACTTAAGAACAAACCTACAGTCCCTATCTTGTACGTAACCCGGGGACTGCCTGTATTTTACAAATCATGGTAATATCCTCTGCCTTCCCTTTTCTCATATTCAATTCCCTCACACATACACACACAGAGTGAGAGAACAAGAACACCAATGTATTGTCTGGACTGATATGTACTGCACCGTTTTTGAGAATTAACTCCCTTCTCCCAGTTCAGAGCAATTTATGCAGTATATAGGAATTTTACCTTCTTCATCTATTTCATTAAAATCAGCAGTAGCTAAAGATTTAGAAATGCATTGCTATTTGTTAAAAGTGAGTGATATACACATTTACAGAAAGATATTTTGACTTCAGCCCATCTGGAAGTTTCATAGTCAGCCCTGAGAAGTGTTAAATATCCAAGTGACTTAATTCTTCAAATCATGACTTACTGATGCTGTATATTGTATATAATTAGACATGACAATATCATTTAACATGGACAATTAAGCTTATATATGTAGTAGTAGTATACTTGACAATATAGATGTACCATTATGAATTCTGTTATCAGTAAGGGTACTAATGCAACAAGATAGAACAAACATGCAGTTGAAACTGTATGTTTAATTTAGTTCCAGCCTTTGCAATTAATCTGTTTAATCATAGAATACTAGGACAGAAAGGGACCTTGAGAGGTCATCAAGTCCAGTCCCCTGCCCTCATGGCAGGACCAAATACTGTCTAGACCATCCCTGATAGACATTAATCTAACTACTCTTAAATACCTCCAGAGATGGGGATTCCTCAAGCTCCCTGGGCAATTTATTCCAGTGTTTGACTACCCTGACAGCTAGGAAGTCTTTCCTAATGTCCATCCTAAACCTCCCTTGCTGCAGTTTAAGCCCATTGCTTCTTGTTCTATCCTCAGAGGCCAAGATGAACAAGTTTTCTCCCTTCTCCTTATGGCACTCTTTTAGATACCTGAAAACTGCTAGCATGTCCCCCCTCAATCTTCTCTTTTCCAAACTTAACAAACCCAATTCTTTCAGCCTTCCTTCATAGGTCATGCTCTCTAGACCTTTAATCATTTTTGTTGCTCTTCTCTGGACCCTCTCCAATTTCCCAGAACTGAACACAATACTCCAACTGAGGCCTAACCAGCACATAGTACAGTGGAAGAATGACTTCTCATGCTTTGCTCACAACACACCTGTTAAGACATGGGCAGATTAGAAACAGGATGCTCAGACATAATTGCTGGTTGTCACATCAACAGGTGGGTTGGCTAGAGAACGTGCTCCAGGATTTTATGCTGTCTTCATCTCTGGAAATACCCTTTAGAGTCACAGATAGGCTTTGTTTGGAAGACACTGAGGAGCTATGGGACATTTCCAGAGCTCTTTATTCATTATGGGTATGTCTACACTACCCTCCTAGTTCGAACTAGGAGGGTAATGAAGCTTGGGATTTGAATTTCCCGGGCTTCATTTGCATGTTGCCGGGCGCCGCCATTTTTAAATGTCCACTAGTTCGGACTCCGTGCCCCGCAGATACACGCGGCACGAACTAGGTAGTTCGGACTAGGCTTCCTATTCCGAACTACCGTTATGACTCCTCGTGGAATGAGGAGTAAAGGTAATCTGCACTGAATCAAATCTTAGAAGAGTTTGGGTGTTAATTTAATCTGCCTTTGGAGTATTGTACAATTGAATATGTCAAAGGTGAATCAGAAATACATTGTTAGTAAGAAGGAAACTCAGCAGGTATCTTGCTATCTAGTAGAATATAAAATAACAAATAACATATTCAATTTCAGTGATTTCCCATCATGCAGTAAAGCTCCCATTGAGGTCAGTGATTGTTTGACTACGGACACCAAGATTGGTCCTCAGAAGAACAAAGAAAGATCTAAGTTGCCACTAATCTGATTTTTGTTCTGCCATCATAACAGGGAGGTCTCTCCGGCTACAACTCTGAGCAATTTGCTGTAAGAATAGTAATACTTAGTAAAACACCATTGGTCTGTGAATCTCAGAACACTTTATAGACATGAATTAACTGCCACAATATACCTATGACATAGACAAACATTATTAGATGGCCAATGGAAGCACGGTAAGCTTATGGGCCAGTTCCTTGGCCAGGGTAAAGCAGCATAAATGCACTGAAGTCACTAGCGCTATGATGATTTTCCACGGCCGAGGATCTCGATACATCAGCTGGTCAGTGGCACAGTCAGGAATAGAATAAAATGGCTCAATTCACCACAGCATGGCTCCAGTTTAATACTGGTGCAACTCCACACACAGTGGTGCCTATTGACAGGCCCGAAGACAGGGGCAGGGTAAAGGGGGGGATTGATCGGAGGCCGGGTGATTCAAAGGACCCGGGATCTCCTGGATTGCTACTGTGGCAGCAGTGGCGTCCACAGCCCTGGGCCCTTTAAATCACCACCGGAGCACTGTTTGGAGTGCTCCGGGCAGCTCTTAGGACCACCTGGGCAGACGGGGGTGCCATGCTACATGTTCCTGGTTGCTCTGAGGGCTGATGTGGGGGAGAGCGCGCAGTAGTCCGGGTGTCACTGAGGGCTGGCAGCTGGCTGCCTTGCTCCTCTCTTTCTGCCCAGAGCTCCACCCCTTCCTGGGTGCAGACCTGGGCCTCCCACACCTTGCCTGGAGGGGCCACAGAGGCTTTCGGCTCCCCTGCTTATTGAAATCAATGGAGCGATGCTGGCATAAAATTGGAGGAACCCAGTGGTTAATCAGATCACCAATCTGCTGCTCTAGTCACTGCATGTCCTGCCTTCCTTCATGAAACAATTTGTGGAGCATTACCATGATTAAGAGACAGGCCGTGGTCTCTGGTGAAGGAAGTCCATAGAGTAGAAGATATTGTGTAGCCATGATGGTGCAACTTCCATAATCATTATGTAAAAAAGATACAGAGCACCTCTTTCCAAAATTCAATGGTGAAGGAAACTGAAGTATACTCACACTTGTGGAAGGGGTTCCTCTACAGTAGGACTGAGAAACACCAAAGCACCAAACAAGGTGACATTTCCACTGTTTATGGTTTGGGCTTCAGTCCAGCATCTTTCACAGCTCTGGTCTACATTAGGAAGCTATTTCAAAATACCCCCTCCTCAATTTCGAAATAATAAGCGAAGTGCCCACACTACCAAGCCCATTATTTCAAAATCGGTTCTCCTGCTTTCCTCGGGGAATAATGCTTATTTCAAAATTGTTATGTTGGGAGTTATTATTTTGATTTTACTTATTTCATAAGTATTTCCTCGTGTAGACATACCCTGTTCCTGCCTCATCCAGCATCCTTGGCCATGGTGCTGAGACATACACAGACTAATCTGGGCAGCCTCAAGAAACATTTGCTGCTCCCTTTGACTATAGAGGAGATAGTGTTGCCTAGTGACAGAGCATTAGATGTAGACTCAGGAGAGCTTGGTTCTGTTTCTGATTCTACCCCTGCTCTGGTGGGTGATCTTAGACAAGTCGCTTCAGTTACCCCATCTGTAAAATGGGGTTGATGATACTTACCTCTGCTGTAAAGTGCATTTAGACTTTGGGATAATCACTGCTTTACATAAGCCAGGTATTAATTTATAATTACTATTACTATTATATACTTCATAATAAATCAGAATTATGATCTAAATTAGAGATGGGCCTTTTGTATCTTTGGGAAGAGAACAGCAGAAGAGTGGTAGAAAATTATGTTGCAAAACTATTAAGGACCATCACTCTCTTCAGGTTAATTTAGAGGAAAAAAATCAATTATGGATCCCAGCAAATTAAGTCAGTGGGAGATTTTTTTGTATAAATAAAAAATAAAAGACACAAGCTATTAAGTCAATGTAATTTAGTTCCCATACCTTTTCTATTAGAGGAGGAATTCCTTATTCTGTTATAATTCTGTTTGTTGTAATGGAGATAGAAATTGATCAGAGAAATGGAATTGCTCTGGTGACCCCGGGTGACAACAGCTACAGCTGTCCAGAACAAAGCAGAAACTTCCACAAATTTGGATCAACGAGGCCTGTGGTGAACTTTGGGTGGTAAGTTAGTAAGCTGCATGTTACCTCTTATTTGATAACATTTATTTATCATGCACCATTCCTGAGTCTAGAACTGCCATCTGGGATTATTTAATTAAACTCATAGGCATCAATGAGTATATATAGTGGTGGAAAATGAAGAACAAGGGCCAAGGGACACCCTAAAGGGGCCTGATTTTCAGGAGATGGATGCTCTACCGTTTCTGAACATCATGATTCTTTCAGGTGTCTCAACTAGGGCATCCAAAATCACCTGCCATGTCTGGGTATTTAAATTCTCTCAAATCAGGGAAAACCAGGAGGAGCTTCACTGGAATAGATGGAGTGACATGAGAGCCAGGCCCAATACTTCTAGCACAAAAGCAGCATGCCCCTTTTTTTTGTTCATGCAGTTCCTTACATCATTTGGTTCCTGTGAGTATGCAAACAGATGCACTGTCCAGCAGGACAACTCTGTGGTCCATGTATGTGCAAATGTGGCTGATGAAATGGAATAACACATATCAGACGGCAGCTTTCCAAAATGAAATGCAAACTAGTCTGAATGAAGTTGCAATGCAGACTGATGACTCATTCTTTCCAAAATGCTGTGGTGACAGGTGGATTAACAGTGCATCTTTTAGAGATACAAGTACACTTTTGAAAAGCCATTCACAGAAAGCACAGCTCGCTCTTTTGCGTTCCTTCTAATAAGCACCTTTTCTGAGAAAAAAATACTTCATCTTGTTGTATGCTGTTGCTATTGTGAAATTTCCAGGCCAGTCTATCAGCTACAAACTGGACACAAAAGTACAGACAGATGGGACCAAAGAAGTGGAAAAAATATGTAAGGGAGATATATTCATGTAAGGGAGTCATACTAAAAGAGAAGCATGTCACTCACAGGTGGCATGGTAAGGTATTGACACCTCTGTTTCTGTGCTGATGCAATCAGGGTGCTGCCTTCAGCCCCCACTCTGTAGCCCCCCAGTTCTGAAGGCAGTGCAGACAACTTAATTGTAGCCGGATGGGTGGTGAAATGTTTGGGTGTAAAAAGTGAAAAAATAATAAAACGCTGTAAAACTTAAAACACAAATTCAGTTTTCTCCAAATTTCAGTTGTGTTGATGTACCCCGCAGATTTCTCTCGAGTACCCCAAGGGTACTCGTACCACTGGTTGAGAAACACCGGTAGAGGGTAAAAGCACACAAAAGACCACCAGATTTCATGGGCTCTGAAGTACTTTTCATGGCCATGAATTTGGTAGGGCCCTATCCATAAGGAAGTTAAGATACATCTGCAGTTACTCATACAGAACTGTATCCATTTCAATAGTGGCAAGGTTTTACAGATGGCTACCGTTGGCAAGACGAGGGTTAGAGATACAGAGAGAAAACTGTTGGCACTTTGAGACTGAGTAGGGTCATAGATTCTCATATACTATTTCCTGGAGCTCTAAACATTCCCCCCTCAGCTGCGGGGTGGTGGTCACAGGGCTTTAGCCCCACAGAATGTGTTGAGCTTAGGGCTTCATCCCCATAGATGTGTGCTGGTCTTTGGGGCTTCTGCCTCACAGGCTGTGTTGGGGATTGGAGCTTCTGCCTGAAGGGATGTGCCAGGAGTTAATAGGACAATATCGACTGAGGCTTTGTTCTGGGCCATTCTGGATGAATTTTGAGCCCTGGTCCCAAGCAAGAAGAGGAGAACTAGCCATCTGGAGGGAAACAGATTTATACCTGTGAAAGCCAAACTGAGCACTATCCAGGAGGATGTGCTGGAAAAAAGTCAGAGAAGATGTCCTGTGTTAAAATTTTGCTGAGCAAAGGGAGTTGGGAATTTTGCTGAGGAAAGGGTGTTGGCTGTAGATAATGATAAGGAAAGTTCATATTAGGTTGTGTTTTATACAGAAGTGGGGCTATTTTGAAAGTGACAGGGGAAGGCACTTCTGAAGAGAAGGAGTGTGGTTGTTTGCTGATAAAAGAAGGGTAAGGATGATTTTAATGGAGACTTAGAACCCACGTCCACAAGGTAATTAAGCACCTGTATGAGATCAAGTACCTGAATAAGCCCAGTGAAGTGAATAGGACTTCTCAGGTGTTTAAAATAATGTCCATACTTAAGCAGTTTTCCGAATTTGAGTGAAATACTAGAATAGAGCTTCCAGTAGGTAGATCAACAATGAATTGTATAGTGAAAAGTACTTAGGTAAAATGTCTGGGTAGTACTATGGAGTATGCCATCTAAAAAAGAAATGGCAATAGATTTCTCTATTGACATGTGATCTGAAGCTGCTCACAAAATTCTATAAAAGAGAATACATCTGGAATGCATTGTATTTAGAGCTCTGCATGGATACAAAATTTTGCCTCTGCATCCACATCGGTATGTGCAAAAATGAGTTGTGGATTTCCACATCCACATTTGTGGCTATAAAGCAGATATCTACAAATTTGCAGGACTCTTGATGTATTTCTTGAAAAACCAATAAATACATTTTATTGAAAGCAAGTCAGCTAGACCACATCCACACTATGCAGAAGATCAATGCTTCTGCAGTCAATCTTCTGGGGCTCAAATTAGCAGGTTACTGTTGGTGCTGGTAGTCCTGCTCCTTACAAGGAGTAATGGAAGCTGATAGGAGTGTTTGCTCCCATTGGCCTCCCACTATGTGGATGGTGAGAAAACATGATTTAAGATATGTTGACTCCAGCTACATAATTAATGTAGCTGGAGTTGTGTATCTTAAGTCGATTTTCCCCTTTAGTGTATACCTGGTCCTACTGACTTGCCTCAACAAGAAGCCATGGCAGTTTTACATTTCTATTTTCTTTTGCAGTGCTACATACAAAAGGAAAGCAGATACATTTATTCCTCTCCGGCACTTGTCAGAGACTCCTTGGTAAGTGTTTTCAGAACAGGGAAAAGCTGAACTATGTGGGACTAATTCAGAGTATACTTACATTAGTAGAAATCACGGGAAAGGAAACTCAAATCAGAATCAGTGGATTTAATTGGTGTAAAGTAAGGAGAATGAGGTCCTTCGTCTCCTATCTGGAAAAGTCCAGTTTGATCTTAATAAGCATACAAACAACATGGTTCTATAAAAATTAATGGTGTTCTTGAAGTATGCACTCCAAACCCCAGAGAACGTAGCCAATAATGTGACTCTTTATACAGAACTGTTTAACAAAGAGATAGAATTCTTCACCTACTGAATTTTTCATGTTAGTTCAACAAATCTATACGAGGATCTCATGTTGCTGGGCCCTGATTCTATACCTACTTGAGTCAATAGAATTCTTTCTACTGATATCACGGGCAGGCCCTTATACTCTAAAATTGTTCCATAAGAGAAGGTTCAGCTATTTACAAGCCTCTCAATATTGACATCCTTTCTGATATATAGCTACTGGACTTTTGCTGCCAACTATAATAAAATAAATTAGGATAATATTGCTACAGTGTCTCTTTTTAATGAAACACATTTGGAATGGAAGGTAAGCTTTGTAACTCAACTGGATTTATTTTTTTCACTGACCAAGAATACAGCGGAATTGCCCTTACTGCTATGTCTCTCATTTTGGGTCCTTGATATATTGTACCCCTTAGCAGACTGAGTAATAGGCCATGGATAATAGCAGCCTTGTCCAGTTTATGCCTGGTTATAATTTAAAACTGTTATTGCGCTCTGACTGTCACAATAACATATCAAAGGCATGGTTGCATTGGAACACTTAGGAAAATGAATTGGAATTAAACTTTAAAGTGGAACAAAAGGAAGTATTTCTTCATACACCACACAGCCAATCTGTGGAACTCCCTGCCAGAGGACGTTATGAAGGTCAGTTCTTAACAGGGTTAAAAAAAGAACTAGATAAATTTATGGAGAAAAGTCCATCAATAGCTATTAGCCAACATGGGCAGGGATGGTGTCCCTAGTCTCTGTTCATCAGAGCTTGAAGTGGGTGAGAGGGGATGGATCATTTGATGATTGCCTGTTGTGTTCATTCCCTCTGGAGCACCTGGCATTGACCACTGTCAGAAGACAGGATACTGGAGTAGGTCTGACCCAGTATAGTCATTCGTATGTTCTATGTTCTTATTAGTTAAACTGCATTAAACTCTTGTGTGGATGCACTCATTCAGAAGTAATGTGGCCTTTCTTTGATTTAGCTAAAGCCACTTTAATTTTGAATAAGAGCATCCATACAGGGAATTTAACTAAACTATTTTAAATTCACATTTGAAGTACATTTGGATCAATTTTCCTGAGTGCTCCTATGTATATAAGCCCTTAGATTTATACACAATATACCACATTTCGTTAATTCATAGTAATAATTCGAGAATAGTAATAGAAATGTAGCCGTGTTAGTCTGGTGTAGCTGAAGCAAAATACAGGACTATGTAGCACTTTAAAGACTAACAAGATGGTTTATTAGATGATGAGCTTTCATGGGCCAGTCTGGCCCACGAAAGCTCATCATCTAATAAACCATCTTGTTAGTCTTTAAAGTGCTACATAGTCCTGTATTTTGCTAATAATTCTAGTTTGGGTTCTGGAACTCTTTCCAAGATCCAGAGCTGTGCTAGATCTTTCCAAGTCCAGAATTTTCTATTGGACTTAGTAGATGTTTGCACAGCACCTACCGTGATTGTGCTTTGATCTCAGCTAGGGCTGTGTGCATAAAACACATCTCTTTACTCAAGCATTTGACAGAAGGAGTTTTAATAGGGGGTTATCATGATGCCTGTCACACTGACAATCTGCTTCTCAGTCAGGGTTTTGTATTTATTTTAGTGTAGCACCTTCAGACCTAGCCAAGACCAGGGTGACATTGTTCTGTACAAACTCATAGTAAGAGGTAATCCCGGAAGGGTTTACAATCTACGATCTTATCTATACAGAATATTGTATCACTTTAACTATACCAGTATTGTGAACGCAATATAACCTCCATGTAATGTAGACACAGTTATGCCAGTATAAATGTGCTTATGAATTATAGCTATTCCCATGGGAAGAGGAATAAGATATGCTGATAAGGCACTTTTAGAGAGGCAAAAGTGTCCACTCTAGGGCTTGTGGCTAGTCACTTTTTAGTTAAAAACCTTTAACTGAAGCAGTTACACCAGTACAAAAATTCTTTGGAGACCAGGGCAAAATAGACAAGGAAATACTGCTACCCTCATGTGCCAGAGGCAGTAGTTTGAGTGACTTTCCCAAGGTCTCACAGGAAGTCTGTGGCAGAGCCAGGGACTAAACCTGGAACTGCCAAGGCCCAGGCTGGTGCTTTAATTACAAGTCAACCCCTTCCTCCCACATGAGGGTATGAAGTAATGTGCAATGAATGTTTATCTCTTTGTTTAATTTGCTGGATTCTGTTTGCTTAGATGCTTCCATTGGCCAGTTTAAAATATATTAACTTCTGTGACCTTAGACAACTCTGTATTAACACCCGACACACTACTGCATGTATAAAATATGACCTGTGAAGTATTGTATGAAAGCTAACAGCATGCAGATTATTCATGTCATTGTGAAAGGCACATTTTAACCTTACGTGATGTTACTAGAACATGTTTAAGGTAGGACAGACTAGCCTAGGTTGCAATGATATGGTCTGTCCTAAGCAAAGGAGTGTGCATTTACCTCAGTTTACATATCAGCAGTAAGCAAAGCTGTTGAACTAAACCATTGATCTCAGGAAACAGAGAATTAACATGGCTCCCGCACCTTGGAGCAAACAGGAGACTTCAATGCCCAGGAGGCCTTCCTGATGTATAAAAAAAAAAAAATCCATTTGGGGACAAAAGGAACACTGACCCCTGGTCTATGCAATGGGATAAGTTCAAATTAAAATAAGCAACTTCAGCTATTTTAATTGCGTAACTTAAGTCAAAGTATCTTAAGTCAAATTTTGGCACCGTCCACACTGCGGGAAGACAAAGGGACCACAGTCTCCCTTCAACTTCCCTTATTCCTCTGAGAAGCAGGACTACGGGCATCAACGGGAGCGCCCCCTCTCAGTTTATATTAGCGTGTCATCACTAAACCAATCTAGGGCTCTGTTGAAGGGAGGGGTGTATCTACCCCTGTTAAATTAAGAAGCGGTGATGTACTGACTCATTAAGAGAGCAGCAAACTTAGTATCTTCTGTAGTAAGAATGGAGCTGTACATTGCAGAGAAACATCTCTGAGAAGCTGAGAGGCTGGAGTTCTCTGTTTGTTACCTGCCTTCCTGCTAGGTGAGCTTTGGGCCAGGAGAGCCTTGAGGAGTTTACCAGTCAGGAAGACAAGCTGATGTGGCAAAGTCTAATTGCCATCAAAACTCACACTTGCTGAGGAAGAGAGGTAACATGGTGGCTACCAGCTCTGTGTATCTCCAATAGTGTGTTACAGCACTATCTACATTCACCAAAGGGCTTGCCAATGTGAACAATTAGTTTATTACAAAATGGAGTTTGAATTTACTAGCTACAAGCACTAGCTTGACACAAGTTAACTGTCCCTGTGGGCCCTGCTGTTGTACATTAACAGTTTGTGAATGGTCTTTGATCTATCCCCAGTTCAAAGAGAACTAGATCAAAGTGCAATAACCATTCCTACCAATCCAGGTCAGGTTTGTATGAGGCTCAGTAATGCCTTATCTTGCCCCCAAATCTTCCTGTAGACATGTCATTAGGGCATGTCTACGCTACAGAGAAGATCGATCCTTTGGAGGTCAATCTTCTAGTGTTCAATTTAGCAGGTCTAGTATAGACCCCCCAAATGGAATACCGAGGGCAGCCCCACTGGTGTTCTGTACTCCTCATGTGAAGAGTAAGGGAAGCCAACAGGCGCGTGTGCTCCCATCGGCCTCCTGCAGTGTAGATGCCTCGGCATCTTGGCTGCAGGTAAGCCCTATCCAGCTACACATTTTGCATAGCTGGATGGCGTACCTCAAGGTGACCTGCCTGGTCTAGTGTAGACCAGGCCTTAGAGAGTGCAGAGTGGAATAGCAGCAGAAAGAGGGTAGAAAGAATTACACAGAAACTACTTTTTGTATCTCTTCCATTGACGGCTGTGGCAGGAAAGCAGGGACATGAATGAATAGTGTAGCTTTATCTCCCTCCTGTGGTGACTAGAGCCCCTAGCAGTGAAACTGACTCCATAGAACAGTTTATGTGTATGAAGGACTGACCTGAAACTTACATTAAAACATAGGTTTGTGTTTTTCAGGTAACACTTTACATAAAAAAATTCAGAATTACAGCTTCATTCACACAAGTAAATGAGATGCTGCAGAGACTAAAGGAAAGAGGCCACTATTTAAGACGGAAAGGACTAAACTCTGCACTCAGTTATACCAGTGCAGTGAAAATAAAAAATAACGACATTCATTTCTGTTAAGGTGCTTTGGATACAGGCTGCAGTACCTGAGCGGATAATTTGTTCCACATGCCCCGAGTCACTTCTTACTTATACCACTTTAATCTGGTGTAAAGGAGAAGAGTCAGGCCCATAGGTTGCCAACTTTCCAATTTCTTATAACCCGTCACACAGTCTCGACTCTCATTGCTTGATCCCTTTGACTGGCCACTCGCTTCCCACTCCCTGGTAGAGCTGGGCTGAGAGTGGATGCAGAGCCTGCCTGCCCATCAGAGGCAGATAGGAGCTGGGCTTTCCTGAGAAGGGGTTGGCAAGAGTTGATGACGTTAGTGTTCCCTGAACTCTGCTCTCACCCCTGAGTCTTCCTGGTCTCCACATCCCAGAGGTCATGCTTGCAAGCCACAGGGGCAGGCTGGCAGTGGTGTTTGCAGGCAGCAACACCCCTATTCCAGTACCCCTGCAAGTGGCAGCCAGACCTTTGGTGTCTGGGCAGTACTTCTGACAGGACTCCTTCCAGACCTGATTGTTGAAAACTGGACACCTGCCAGCATTGCCATAGGACCTTAGGCCCGGCTCCAGCATCCATGGACATTCGAATGGGAATGCTTAGGAGAGCAGAGCGGGACTATATTACTTAGCTACACTGGGAGTGGATGGAGGTTCAGTGTGGTTACATAGCTCAGTATCTAGGTAGAGGGGTGGCTGGTGCCAATCAATACCCTCCTCCTTCTCCTGTCTGTTCAGTTGGTCTTCAAAGCTGCTATATGGTAACAAGCCTTAGGCCATGATCCTGCAAACACTTGGACTCCCATAACTCTCCATGGGTATGTCTACACTACCCCGCTAGTTCGAACTAGCTGGGTAATATAGGCATACCGCACTTGCAAATGAAGTCCGGGATTTGCATAAGCGGGGCATAATCCCCGCTTCATTAAAATAAAAATGCGGCCCCGCGGCGGCAGTCTAGACGCAGCATGGTCGACAAGGGAAGCCTTTGTCGACTGCTCCGGTATGCCATGTGAAACGAGGTTTACCAGAGCGGTCGACAAAGGCTTCCGTTGTCGACTGTGCCGCGTCTAGACTGCCACGCTGTGCCAGATTAGCTGACTGTTGGCACGGCGTGGTGGCCATTTTTATTTTAATGAAGCGGGGATTATTTAAATCCCTGCTTCATTGACTATGCCTAGTAAACTACTTTACATGGCTCCGTCGGTGGAGCCATGTAGTCTAGACGTACTCAATCTGATTATGAGGAAATAGAGATCCTTACTCTCCAAGCTTGTCATGCCAGAATCTTTTCTAAATGCTAAATGTATTTAAAATAAATCAGATTACATATTAAAATATGTAGATAAAAAAGTAGTTTAAAGAACAAATCACAGTTAAATCTAATGTTTATTTGAAGCGTTTGCTCTTGGGAACTCATTGCTAATTATATCTATCACTAGTGCATCGACAGTGTTTAATGCTGCATATCTCGAAGGATCTTTCAAAGCCACAATGACATAATTTTAGAAATGTCTAGTCTTTGCAGGCCAAATGCTCATCTGATGAAAAACAATACAGATTCCCGGTTGATCTATGTTAATTCACAACAGCTGGTCATCTGGCCCTGAATATCATGGATGCTGTCAAGTAAACAGCATCTCTAAGAAATTCCCCTTCATCACTTACTAGAAATTGTTTTAGCCGATGTTCTTCCAGATATCCAGCACTAATATTTCAGGATCTGATATTAGGTGGTCTACTGTTAAGACATTTTGCTATTATGAGAACCTATTCTCAGTTACTTACAGCTTTGCCAAACTTTACACTTTTGAATGAACATTTTTATGCTGGGTTTCTGCTGCAAGCTAAATTTTGCTCTGGAAAATGAATCAGTAGAATTATCAGATGAAATCAATGGAACTTTGCCATTTTACTCTAGCTGCAGATTGGGCCCATGGCTTTTGTCAGTGTCTGACCTGATTTAGGATATTTAGGGATGAAAAGTCTTATCCAATAAATAATAATTGAACACTTACAAAGCTGGATTTTTCTATTCAATATCTAACATAGTATGTAGTTTTCAGCAGATAATCGCTCACTTGGTTGTAGAAACCAAACATAGGACCTATGTCCTAGGGCGTCCTGTCAGATCATCACGTTAATGAATTTATCCAACTCCATAATCAAACTAATTAGGATGTTTGCTACCTGCTACTCCAGTTGAAAGCCTCTTTCAGAACTTAATTCTTGTTGTTAGAAAATGTCTCATTTCCATACTAATTTTTTCATAGCTTGTTTACCTCCCCGCCCCTGCCCCCGCCCTCCATTTGTTCATGGGCTTAAATTGCTCTTCTCTCGAATTGTTGTTTATACCTTTGCTGTATTGATAGAGCCATCAAAACGTCTCTCAATCTTCATTTGCCTCGGCTAAACAAATCAAACTCTTTCAGTCTCCTTTTACAAGGATGGGTCTACTTCATTTGTGGCTATGACAATCACATCATGGACCATGAAATCTGGTCTCCCCTGTGAAATATGAAGGCAGCATGGACAGTGATGGCTGCTGGCTGGGTGCCCTGCTCTGAAGGCCGAGCACAGAGCAGTGGCTGCTGGGTGGGCACCCATCTGAAGGAAGTGACACCAGGAGCGTCAGTGTAGAAGGGTGGCAATGCTGTACTATGCCATCTTTTCTTCTCTGCTGCTACTGGTAGTGACACTGAGTTGGGCACCTAACCAGCAGCCACTGCTCTCCTACTGCCCAGCATCAAGCAGTGCTACTGCCAGCAGCAGCACAGAAGTAAGGGTGGCATGGCATGTTATTGCCACCCTTATTTTGCACCACCGATGGAAGTGGCACTGTCTTCTGAGCTGGCTGCCTGGCCAACAACCACCACTCTCTCGCCAATCAGCTCTGATGGAAGCACAGAAGAAAGAGTGACAATACTGCAACCCCCTATAATAGGTCTGCCACCCCCTTTTGGGTCATGACAAATGCTGTGGAGAAACTTGCAATTGTCCTGAGTTATTCACAACGCGAACAGCAAATCTCACAGATGGGTCACATAGCCACAAAATTTGGTATTTATGTTGTGACCAACCCATAACAAATGTAGGGTTTTGCCATGATTTACATAACCCCCTACTCACAAAATAGCCTATTTCCCTGATCATACTAGTACCCCTTCTCTGCATCTGGTCTAGTTTGTCTTTCATAATATCATTAACACTGCTCTTTCTATACACTAACCACCCTGTAAGATGGCAAAAGGAACCCTTCCCCTGAATGTTTCCCACAAAAGTTGCTTTAATATTTAAATATATGCTGATGCTGTAATGTTCCACTCAGTCCAATTTGGTTTGGCCGAAGACCAAATCAGGAAAGCCGCTCTGCTGTAACGAGTGCACTTTGCAGTTCATTAACTCATTTGCATTTCTCCTGTCCTCAGCATACCTTTCAACATGAAGGAGAAACAGGAAGAATTGGAGACAGAGATGAACAATGTGAAAAGTCTAGAAAGATGGACACCTGCTCCAACATTGATTCAGGCCTTTGGTGCCACTGGCCTGGCACACAGAATCAAACAGCGTGAACCATAATGGAAAGTTCTTCCATTTTGTAAGCCACTCATATCTCTTGACGACATAACATACATATGCAAATACTTCTGGATGTGATTTCTTACTTGGACGGTCCTTGTAATGTGTTGTAGCAACCACTGTAGATAGTCTGTTTTCAGACTTTGTATTGACTTTAGTTCATGATCCCACCTGAACAGAACAAAAATGTGTAGTTAATGCGAAAGGACAGAGTAGCTTTTTGCCCCACGTCATGTTACTTTCTTCACAGTGGTTGTTTCCATGGAATAAAGTTCTTGTGCTGGAGTGATGGGTTTTATTTGTTTGTCCCAATGTCTAGAATTCACAGGGGGGGGTTTTCTTGGATTTTAGAGACACAGTGTCAGGTATGAACACTATTTGTACCTTGCAAATCTATGGAGTCTTCCATTCAAGCATCTCAGAGAGCTTTAACTTAGTCAGACATTAAACTCAGAACACTTGTTTCCTAGTCTTGTACCTTCAGTGATAGGCTATGTCTCCTCATCTTGCTGTTCTGAAAATATACTTCACTTTGCTCTCCTGGGGTGTGTCTAGACTACAGGGTTTTGTCGACAAAAATGGACTTTTGTTGACAAAACTGTACCTGCATCTACACTGCTGCTGAGTTCTGTCAACATAACGTCGAAAGAACTCGGCAGTTTTGTCGACGCTGGTAAACCTCATTCTACAAGGAATAATGCCTTTGTTGACAGAGTTCTGTCAACAGAAGGTAAGTGTGGACTCAGGGAAGAATTTATGTCAACAGTAAAGGCCTCCAGGAAGAAGCCCTGGTGGACACTCCTGCCACAGCTTTCAACTCTATTGCTCCTGCATGTAGCCATCTTTAAAAGGCACAGGCACCCTGGATCAGCATTCTGGCAGCAAGCCAGCTCCAGACAGAACCCTGACTGCGCAGCTCTTTGCGGTAAGGCAAGTCAGAGCCATGTCGCAAGGACAAGCCCCCCAAACCTCCCTGACCCTTCCCGGGTATGTCTACACTACCCCGCTAGTTTGAACTAGCGGGGTAATGTAGGCATACCGCACTTGCAAATGAAGCTCAGGATTTGAATTTCCCGGGCTTCATTTGCATAAACTGGGCGCCGCCATTTTTAAATCCCTGCTCGTTCGAACCCCATGCAGCGCGGCTACACGCGGCACGAACTAGGTAGTTCGCACTAGACTTCCTAGTCTGAACTACCGTTACTCCTCATTCCACGAGGAGTAACGGTAGTTCGGGCTAGGAAGCCTAGTCCGAGTCCGAACTACCTACTTTGTGCCGCGTGTAGCCGCGCGGGCTGGGGGTCGAACG